CAGAAAATCATGACTTCCAGGCCAAGTTTGTCTCATAACCCATTTTTGTTGTCTGTGAACTGAGAAATTGTTTACATTTTTTCAAGGAAAGAAGGAAGGAAGGATGTGAGGAAGAAGGAAGGGGAAGGAGAAGGAGAAAAAGAAGAGAAGGAAGAGGAAGGAAAAAGGAAGAGGAAGAAGGATGAGGAGGATGAGCAAGAGGGAGGAGAAGAATAAAAGACCCTATAGGGTAAGGGAGCTGGTGGAGTAGCTCAAGTGGTAGAACGCCTTCATAGCAAGTGTGAGGCCCTGAGTTCAAACCCCAGTACTATCAAAAAAAAAAAAAAGAAAAAGAAAAAGATCATAGGGGGCTAACAAAGCCAAAAATACACTTGACCCTCTATATTCTTGGAGGACCAGTTCCCGGAACCCCTGTGGATACCAAAATCTACAAATGCCCTAATCCTTTATAAACAGTGCCATTGTATTTGGATAAAACCTATGCACATCCTCCCGAATACTTTAAATCATCTCCAGATGACTTATACTACCTAATGTGATGTAAATGTTATGTAAATAGTTGCTATACTGTATAATTTAGGGACTAGTGACAAGAAAAAAACAGTCTGCTCAATACTGAAACAATTTTTCCCCAGATATTTTCCATCTGCAGTTAGTTGAATCTGTGAGTATGGAGGATGACTATATTTTCTAGCTGACCCTTTCCAAAATAGTTTGCCACCCCCCTATAATATGCCTGGAGAAACTTAGACTTTAACCTGTAAAGACTTTACCTTGTAAGGGAAATTATTGCCAAGTACTCAAGAAAAGAAAGGATGCTTACCTGTGGGAGAAGAGGAAGAGGAAAAGGAGAAAGTGGCCCTAAATTTTGTTGTGTTCCTTTGGGTAACTTTAAAGATATCAGATGTTTTGGACTGGTAGATTCTACAGATTATTCAAATGCAGATATCTAGTAGGGCTGATTTCCTAATAAACAGGAGGTGTTCTGTTTGTTGTCCTGTCTGGTTTATATTTTTGTCAATGGGTCTCCTTTCTTAGATTTGGGGCCTCACTATGTAGCCCAGGCTGGCCTTGAATTCATATCCTCCTGCCTCAGCCAACCAAGTTCTGGGATTACAGATGTGTGCCACCATGCCAGGAATGTCAACTAGGACTAAGTTTTTTTTTAACAATTGGAGTTTCCAAATAGGAGATCATGAAGAAAGGTGGAGATCAGGAAGAGATGATCAGACTTCATTACAGCTTCATTATAGTTTGAAGGAAAAAGTCTCTCTATTACCCATAAGTAACTCATGAACTTTTGCAACGATACCCATTGAAATCTGGGGGCTAGCTGGGCACAGTGGTGCATGCCTGCAATCCCAGCTGCTCAGAAGGCTGAAGCATAAAGATTGCAAGTTCAAGCTAAGCACCATTGGCTCACACCTGTAATCCTAGCTACTTGGGAGGCTGAGATCAGGAAGACTGTGGTTCTTGCCAGCCCAGGCACAGAGAACAGAGGAACAGAGAAAGGGGGGACAGATTTATTTTGGCACACTGTTTCAGGGGTTATGGTCCATGGTTGGCTGGCTGCATTGTTTCTGGGCCTATGGTGGAGCGGAGTATCATGGCAGAAGAGCATGGTGGAGCAGAGCTGGTCACCTCATGGCAGCCGGGAAGCACAGAGAGAATGCCTATACTAGCAAGCTTCTTCCTTCTTCCCCTTTTATTCCATCTGGGCCTCAGCCTACTGAATGGCGTTGTCCACACTCAGGGCAGGTCTTCCCTTTCAGTAATCCTCTCTGGAAACGCCCTCACAGACAGACCTAGAAGCGTGCTTTACTGATCTCCGAGGCATTTCTCAATGTGATCAAGTTGATAATCAAGATTAACCATCACAGAAGGGAAGAAAATTTAAATGTCCTTGTCAGTCCTCAAAGTCTTTAGAGAAATGATTGCCCTTTAATTCATCTTTGCATAGGTCTTGGATACATTTTGGATAAAAAGGTCTATCCTTTGGTATCTTAAGGACAATATTTTATTTTCATCCTCTCATTTCTCCATAGCCATTTGATTCTAAATATCATTTCCTTGAGAGGAAAGTGGGCAAATATTGCTAGGAATATGTCAGTGTCATTTGGGCCAGTTAACTCTCCATTTTGCTCTTTCACTGTATGATTTTCTTTTCTCTTCTTTCAGGGTCCTATAATTTGGTATTTGTCTATTTGTTAGCACCTCATTAGGAATGGGCTTGTGTATTAGTCAGGTTTCTATCACTATAGAGAAACACCTGAGGCAATAACTTATAAAGACAAAAGGTTTATTAGTTTGTGATTCTGAAGGCTCTAGGCCAAGATCAGGCAGTCCCAAGCTTTGGGTCTCTGATGAGGGTACCAGGTCAGGGAGCACCTGTCAGAGCAAGCTGCTCACATCAAGAGCCAGGAACAGAGAAAGACAGGATGGACCAGGGCCCCACAACCCCCTCAGGGGCATGCCCACCATGTTAGTCTGACTTTCCTTGCTGTGGCAAATACCTGAGAAAACAACATAAAAGGAGAAAAGATTTATTTTGGCTCATAGTTTCAGAGATTTCAGTTCATAGTCACTTGGCTCCATTGTTTCTGGACTTGTGGTGAGGCAGATCATCACGGAGGACAGCATTTGGCAGAGCAGAGTAGCTTACTTCATGGTGGCAAGGAAGCAAAGACAGTAGTAACAGGAAGGGACAAGGAAAAGATACAGCTCCCAACGACACTGCCCTAGTGACCTACTTCCTTCAACTAGGCCCCACCTTCCACAATTGCACCACCTCTTAATACTTTATTCAAACTTTGAATCTACCAATGGATTAATTCACCAATATTAAATTTTTTATTCTGCATTTTCTGTGGCCCTAGTGCTCAACCCCAGGGCCTCATGCATGCTGGGCAAGCACTCTACAACTGACCTACATTTTCACTCCTTAATTTTTAGCCACTCATCATATCTGGATAAAATGCTATTTCTTGGGATCTGCAGTACCAGGAACTTAATGCACAGAACAGCACATTATTCAGTGTTTCTGAGTTCATTAGACCACCCTGTCCAAATTTCCCAATACCTAACCTTCTTTGAGGCACTGCACTTTGTTACCTCATGGTCTCTTTCTGCCATGTGTTTGGAGTGTTTGTCTTCATCCCCTCTCTCCTCTACCCCCAACTCTGCAAACCACCTTCAGGAACATTAACTTAAATGAAATGATGCCAGTATGTGTCTGCATGTCCTCATGTCTTGCTAGTTTCTGTAGATCAACAGAATTATATTAGACCATAGCAGAGAGAATATGCTTTTTCCAATCATCTTTAAATGAAAGGAAAACATATAATTGAAGGTAACAGGTTAATTATTTGCATGGATATAGTAAGAACTAATGAAATACAAGTTACTTAATGTTTGTTACAAATTAGTATTGTAATACAAATGATAATGAAGATAAGAAATTCCATTTATAGGGATATTACATGCTTAGCAAAATTCTTTCCCAGCCAACAAATGACTGAAATAATCTTACAAGCTATATAAATGAAAAGAATATTGATAAATTAGAATATTATTTTTTAAAAGTGCCAGAATTTGAAATATTGAGTGCAATTATACAAGCCAATTTTTAAGTAATACAATGTGTATTTCCATTAAAGTTAATACTAAGAGGGCTGTTCTGTTTAATTATGCAGCTAATTCAGATACAATGCAAGTTAAAAATAAGTTTGGTGCTAGTTATGTGAACTTGGTGAACAATGTTGTTTTTATATTCTGCAGAATTTCATGGAGCCTCTGGATGAAGAATGTGACCTCATTCCTGTCAGATTTAAATAATAATGATGCCAAAAGCCAAGTGTAGTGGTGCATACCTGTAATCCCAACACTAAGCAGGCCGTGGAGGAAGATCTGGCTAGGCTGGGATCCCAGTGAGACCCTGTCTCAATAAACACAGAAATAAAATGCAAAGATGTTTTAAAAATTACGTCCTCTTGAATAACTCTCATCAAGCAGATCCTAGGCCTTCCTCTATTGTGTTGCTGGCAGGAAATGTGTGAACATAGAGCCGGTAAAGGTTTCCCAATTCTTAGCAGCAGGGCATTAGAAAAATTTTTGTCCCTTGACGAGCCCTTGTGTCTTTAGAAAGTGTGGCTTCAAACAGGGTTTCCCGTATATTTTTAAAAGCTTTTTTCCTTAAGTACTTAAATGCTGGTAGTGTTCACACACTGTTTAAAAAATTATTCTGACATTTGTTTAAATGGAAGGGAAGACTTTATTCAGGACTCTTGTGTCAAGACAATCGCAATAATGATGAGGAATCCAGCTCAACTTTGCATAGGGCAAATACAGCTGGGGATTTACAGCCAATGATGTAAGTGACAGGGCCAAGGGGTAGAATACTACAAAGAGAAGATATCAAGTGCAGAGGGAGTCTTGCTAACCTAATTTAACAAGATTCTTGCTGAAGGACAGTCTGGGTACTTAGATATAAAGGGTGGGAAAAATTCTCACTAAACTGACTTAGCAGGATTCTTGCTTCAACTGGATTAGACAGGCCAAAGACCGAACTAAGGAAGAGACATAATTAAAAGAGAGCCTCGGGCTGGAGGAGTGGCTCAAGGGGTAGAAGCACCTGCCTAGCAAGCATGAGGCCCTAAGCTCAAACCCCAGTACCACCACCAAAAAAAAAACAAAAAAAAAAACAACAAGCTTCAGAGGAGCCTCCTAACTAAAATTCGATCAAGGGGAGCCTGTCAATACCAAACTGGTTTTCCCGTTATACCCCCATGTGCCGCCCTTCCACCCATTCCTCCAGCTCTGAGACTTTTTCGCAAAATAACTAAAATATGGTTATGAAAATTCTAGGCGGTGGGGAAGGGGAGAATAACCAAGTCACAGTTGAGGAGAGCAACGGACTACAATTCCCATAACCCACCGCGGGGGCGGTGAGCCTACTGTCCCGCCCCCAATCCATGCCAGTGCGCCTGCGCGGAAGATCCTGTGCCGTGAGAAGTGGGCGGTGACAGGACAGGGTGCCTGAAGGAGGAGGAGGAAGGGAAAAAAGAGACCATAGACTTCTCCCTCGGCCTAGAGCGGCCCTTAAAGTGCGGGGGAGAGGAGGGCGGGTGGGGACCACCCTAGAACTGGCCGCCGGCGGTATCATGGCGTCCCGGAACCCCCCTCCCCAAGGTGAGCGGCCGGGGCCCGAAGTAATATCTGGGACGCGGCTCACAGCTCTCGACCTTGCTCCCACTGCGCTTCCTTCCCCTGCTCCAGGGTTCCTGGGGCTCTGTTTCGAGGCAGCCCCTTTGAGCACCTCCTCCGAACTAGATTTCTCCCTACCCTCTGCGGTGCTCAGGCAGAAAGCGGTCCCGGACCCCCCAACACAGTCCCTGCCCTACCTCCACGTCTGGCTCGTTGTCTTCACCTTCAAACGGCGTGGCCTTTTTTTTTTTTTTTTTTTTTTGAGCCCCACGCAGAAGTGATTTTTCTCTTGCTGATTCCTAACCTGTTCTTTCAGAGGAAGACCCCCATCCCTCTTTGCCCTACCCCCTGGTGAAAACGGACCCTGCTCTGACCCTGACCGTACCTTAATTTGCGGGGTGACCCCTCTCTGGTGTGTAACCCAGATGGCCCTGGCTCCATGACCCCCGGCGTCCCTGGGTCTTTGGAAAGGAGATGGGGTGTTATTGCCAGGCTCTTTACTCTTGAGGCCCTAGTCTCAGGAATTAACAACGCTCATTAGTTTCCATCTGGGCATTTTTATTTGTAGACCACAAGAAGCAGTGAGTTCTAACAGATTTTTTCTTTTTTTAAAGTATGAGACATTTCTGACTGTAGATTGATTCTTATTTCCATTTTGTGTTTTGAAGAGTACGAAAGTGATGACGACTCATACGAAGTGTTGGATTTAACTGAGTATGCAAGAAGACACCACTGGTGGAATCGAGTGTTTGGCCACAGTTCTGGACCTATGGTAGAAAAATACTCAGTAGCTACCCAGATTGTAACGGGTGGCGTGACTGGCTGGTGAGAACAGCATCCTTTTCGTTGTATTTCATTGGGAGTCCAGCTGTTGTCCTTTTGTAAATGGGCCAGAGTCACCATATACATACATTTAGTGGGTCTACACTGTAAATTCCAGAAGAGCACCACTTTGAGGCCTTTCTCTGATATAATTGGTGTGCTCTCCCTTTAGAGATGCCCTGTTGAATTCTGGTGATCCTCCTCCCCCATAACCACCACGTTGGTTTCTCTCTTCCCTCCTTATCCTTCCTTTGATTATATATTTTCCCCCCTTTTTCAAGTTCAGCAAATGTAGTGGATCTGACACAGTGATAGAAGACAGGAAGAAATATGTGAGTTAATTTTACATTTTTATTTGGCATTCAGTGCCAACAACTGGAAAATTTCCAACAGTGTCAGAAACAGCAGAACTAGCCTCTGGGATTGTCAGCCCTATAGGGAACAGTGTAAATGCTCGCTAAAAATTATTGATGACTGTGTAGCTGATATTTTTTTTTTTTTGTGGGCTGGTTCAGATTATGATATGTTGTTTTTTTCTTTTGTAACTTTATTTTTTTTAAATTATTTTTGTACTGGGGGTACAATATGACGTTTACCAAAGTGCTTACAATATATCATAGTTGAATTCACCCTGTCCATCATTCTCCTTTATCTCCCCTCCCCCCACGATTATGATGTTTTAAAGAAGAACTGAGAACATTGGTTCTGCGTTGGTGTTAACAGACTGCTTACTCTTCAATAATATTGTGGAGGAGTGGTTAACAATCAAACCAAGTAACAACTCAGACCATGTGATTTATATGGTCGTTGCTGTGGATCAAATTCTGTATTTGAAGTAAAAGATTAGGTAATAAGGGGCAGAAACAAATTCAACTCTTTGTTTTGAAAATGTTGATGACCTTAGACAATTTTTGAAGTTAGCTAGGGTGCTTAACTTGTGAATATTCATTTTTTTCTTTAGATTGTAAATTAAACTCATGTCATGTTAATTTAAATATTTACATACTTCCACTTGTTATGTATAGATTAATTTTTTGTTTTTCATGCACCTTGGAATAATGGTGCATTCTTTGTGCATTTTTGTAAATGCTGTTTTATGTAGAAATACCCATTGTGAAGATTCTATGGCACAAAGGTACAATATTTATCCATAATGTGTACTTATTTACACTGCTTTATGAAAAAAGCCTGCATGATGAGAGATTAGATGAGGTGATTAGATGAGAGACTTCTGGTGAGGGTTTTGTTCATTGAGATGATTCACCATAGGCTGATTGGACCTCTATCCCCATAATTCAGGGTATGACCCTTTGCTTAAATAAGCTCATAATTCGATTGGCTAGTGAGAGGGCCAAAAGCACACTATTAAAAGATACTAAAGAATAATTGAGAAATAGAATTATTAGGTCATTCTTCTTGTAGACCAAACCTGGTAAGAAGCCCTATATGTAGAAGAAGTTTGCTTGGAAAGCCTAGAGACAGAGCAGCAGAAGTTAGTAGGTTCATCTTAGTGACTAATGACATCAAGCAATGGATATACAAGGTTTTGGAGCACCCAACCTGGGATGTTGTGGAGACCTGGTTACTTGCTTCTGCTCCTTTTCCTGAGCCTTTGTTGCTAACTCCCCTATAAGAGGTATATTCTTAAAACTAATATTACATTAGTAATTATATTACATTTGGATTATATTCAGGAGCTGTATAATAGGACACTAATATAAGTGTTTTGTTGTGACAACTTCTACTGTAATATAGATTCAGTGTGACAACTTTTTGGCAACTTTTTTTTTGGTGGCACTGGGGTTTGGCAACTTTTTGGAATCTTCTTAGGGTATAAAAATAATGTGACATTGTGGTATATGGTAAGGAGAAACAGTAGGCATTAATCTAACTAGTTAACAATCCAGACCAATTAAAGACATGAATGAGAGGCTGCTGAGATTGTATTTAGCTGTAGGGGTTTTTGTTTATTTGTGTTTTGGTGGTATTGGGGTTGGAACTCCGGGTCTTGTACTTGTTAGGCATGTACTCTACCACTTGAGCCACAACTCTAGCTCTTAGCTATAGGATTTTCATCATAAGAAATAAAAACTTATCAGGATGGGTGGTTGTTAGGATCCATAGAGGATATGAAGACCAGTTCTTGTGCCGTTGGAGTGGTCTGGAAGCGAGGTAATAAAAGCCTAAATCATTACCAAGATAATGATGCCTTTAAGAATGGAAAGAAGACAAAATCAGATAATGGGAATAGGGTATATAGAACTTTGCATTCAGTTGTACCATGAATGAAGAAGAAAGAGACTGAGATGAATGTGAGGTGGCAAGCCTGGAGAATGGTATTATCACTTATAAATTGGGACCTTACTAACAGCTGTTTTTACTAGAAAGATATTTACTTTGGGACATTTTGAATATGTGGTTCTAGGTACTGGAGAAACCCATCATATAATTTGAAATGTAAATTTTCCATTTAGGAAGGTGTATTAGTTTCCTAGGGGTATTGTAACAAAGCGCCACAATGTAGGCTAAAACAATGGAGACTTAATCCCTCACAGTTCTGGAGGCTAGAAGTCTGAAATCAAGGTATTAGCAACTTTGGTTCCTTCTTGGAGATTCAGTGGGAGAAATTTCCCATGTTTGTTTCCTAGTTTCTAGTGATTTGTCAGCAGTCCTTGGCATTCTTTGACTTATAGATAGATCAATCTAATCTCTCTCCCTTTGATGTCATAACATGGTCATCTTCCCTCTGTGTGTTTGTGTCTCTGTGACATGACTCATAATGGATTAAGTGCTATCTTGTTCCAGTATGACCTCATCTTAATTAATTACATCTGCAGTAACTGTTTTCAAATAAGATCACATTTTGATGTCCTAGGAAGGATATGAATTTTGGGGGACACCAATTCAGTGCAGAAGGCTAGAGTTAGAAATCTAGAATCCTAGAGGGTGGGGTATGAGCTCACTGGAAGATGTATAGGCTCACACTGTTCCAGGATAGATGTGACAAAACAGACTTAATATAAAAATAGATATAGACAATGAGGCTATAGGAAATGTGGACTGAAGTGTAGGTAGAAAAGTGGAACTATACCTAGACCTTAAAGGGTAGGAAAGCTTTAGATAGGCAGACCCAGACAGAATCCCTAGAACCAGGAAGATTAATAGGTCAAGCTAAGGTGATGACCTATTTGGAAATTGAGGTTGTTGTGGCAGTATAGTCAGAGGAGAAACCAAGTGACACTTGGAGGAGTGGAGAACTCAAATTTTAATTTTACGCTAGCGGGCCCAGATGTATACCTGTGTCTGAGCCCTGAACAAAGGGTTCACAGGATATTTAAAAGGCAGTGTAGGGTATCAGGTTACAAGGAATGTGCTCTCCCATAAAGTAGGGCTAGTAGTGGGTTAGAGATCTAAGGTTTAGATAAGAACAGCAGGGGAGTCCTGCTTTGGAAAGTTTATTTACAAGTGGAGACAAAGAAAGGCAGGAATGGGTGCTTATCTCTGCATGGTGCCTATCATCTCGGTCCTGAACTTTTGCATGGCTCTAATGGGCAATTCCTCACAGCTCTGTCCGAGGTTACAGCTTTTAATTGACAGTTTACCACGTTTTACAACCCTGTTTCAAGGCTATCTTCCTCTTCAAGGTGGAACAGGTTTGAGTAGAGTGAGTGTCAGTCAAGTATATGAAACATCTTGACTGTATTAAACAAAACAAAACAAATGACTTTTTATGGGAAATTTCAACTTATACAAATACAGAAGGAGGAATATAATGAACCCCCGAGTACTCATCATTAAGTTTCAGTGCCATTATTTTCCTATAAATCCTCCTTTTTTCTCCATCCCTTATTTTGCAGCAAATCTCAGACATTTTAGATGGTGCATTTTTTTACTAGCCTATATTACTGAAGGGAAGTATTGAAGGTTTGTAGACAGGTAAGGAACATGATCAAAAGAAATGGGAAGACATTAAGATTTTATTAGGAAAGCAATAGAAAGTAGAAGGGGAGAGGGATCAGTACGTCACTGATTGTTCTTATCTTTTGTTATTTCTCTGATTAAAGGTGTGCAGGATTTTTATTCCAGAAGGTTGGAAACTTGCGGCAACTGCAGTAGGCGGTGGCTTTCTTCTTCTTCAGGTATGTCAGAGCTTTTTGTACTTGCCTCTGCTTACATAGGTAGCCCTTTGGGGACTGAGAACATCAAGTTTAGTCATTTCTCTCCTATCCATTTAATAGAAGGTAGACATTTTCTTTTAGACATCAGTTTATAGAAAAACTACAATGAGTTTTGAAAGCTGACATCTGTTATGAAAGACAATAAATTAAATACTTCTAAGTTCTTTAAGCAAAAGATAACTATTTATACATGTATGTAAATGGAAAAATGATACCTATTGAAACTATTGCAGGAATTGGGGGAGGAGGGGATAAATAAGAACAGTAGAGGGGGTGATTTCAAGTATGATATATTTGATATATTGTAAGAACTTTTGTAAATGCCACAGTGTACCCCATCCAGCACAATAAAATAAAATACAAAGATAACTATTAAAACTTAAAACTTAAAAATCCATTTTTTGTTACTACCCAAATTTCCCTTAACTATTTCCCTAGTAGAGTAAACATTTCTGCAGAAATACAACCTACTCATCCTGACTATTTCAAACCTATATTTAAAATGCATGTGTACAAATTCAAAGGTCTCTTCTTTCCCATTTCCTAGGTATGCAGCTTTTCTCCCCAAAGGAAGCTGCTATTAACAATTTCTAACATATTTTTAAAAATTAAAGAACCAAAGGCAGGCATGGTAGCACATACTTGTAATACCAGCACTCAGGAGGCTAAGGCAAAAGGATCAGAGTTTGAGGCCATCCCGGGCAGCAGAGCTACATAGCAAGACCCTGCTTTAAAAAAAAACCCAATAAAACTAAAGAACCATAATATAGAAGGGTTGGGGTATGGCTCCAGTAGAAGAGTGCTTGCCTAGCATAATAATATAGAAAGTGGAAAATTAGTTTTAAAAAAATATCCATAATCCTGTTTCTGAGGCATGTGGATTAAAATTTTAGTTTTATTCATTTTTCTTTAAGGTCTAAAAATGCTTTCCATCAGAGGATGTTTATCAGGATATTATCTAACATTCATGTTTGTTTGACATATATTTTCCCAGAAATACCATTCCCTAAAGATTAAATATAGTAAATCCTAAAATTGAAAATCTCTGGGAATGAATGTTACCAACAATTTTAAAGATACAGAGGACTGTTAGTTACACTAGATTTAAAAAGTAATTGATGTTCATAGCAACCAAAATATGACTTCAGTAACTAAGTCATTAATCCTGTACTAATCAGAGTAGTTGCCTTAAGTACAAAGGGGTAAGATTCATATGTGTCAAGAACTAATTTTGAGTTGTTTACTAAATAGCAGTTTTTAAAATAGATTTTCTTTCTATTAGCGACAGTATTAGGAGCAATTACTTATTTCTTGTGTTAAGAAGTGAAAATGATTATGATTAATATCTAAATGTGGTCCTTTGGATAAATATGCCAGTTTTTATACAGAAGAGAATTTTACTTAAGTTGATCTTGACTTGGGTTTGTATAGAATCAAGAACATATTTAATTTTATCATCATTATGAAAACTCAATTATCAGTTCTGTTCACAGAATAGAGAAAATTATATATTTTAATCTACTCTGCATGTCAAGTTCTCAGACGTTCATTTCAGTCCACTCAGTATATACTGTTCAAACCACATTTTGCCATTGTCTCTTTCCTACTTTTCTACACTTAGTCCATGTATTCTTTGAAGTCTCTAAGGCAAAAGAACACAGGTCCTGTCAGCATCAGACCACTTTCCCCCACAAATATAATTAGCTTTGCAAACTTAGTAAGAGGAACCTGAAAGAGGAAATAGAGGACTAAGTGGCTTTTAAGCCAATTACCTAATGTTCTTTAGGCCCATTTCCATATTTTTATAACTTTTACTAATATTTAAAAATAAATATTAGTTTACTTAAAACTTAAGGCCTTGTTAATAACAATATTAAGTGTTTTCCAGTATATATTTATCATACTGCCATCTTAAAATAGAAAATGGGGCTGGTCTGAGTGTAGTAGCGTTTGCAAGTAATTGATAACAATTAGTTACAGATATCTTTGTTCCTTCTCCACTCCCACTGCTTCACTTGACTTAAAAAAGATAGACAATGGTATATAAATCTTTTGGGTTTTTTGAAGTTATATATACACATAATTCAAAGGGTCAAATACTTGTGCAAGGCTTGTTAACAGATTAGAATAATCCTCTGCATCCCTCTCCACCCTCATTTTTCCATCCTTTGAGGCAACCACCTTGAACTCTTAGCAGATTCTTCTTTTCCCTCAACAAGTTCGCATTGCCCTGGAATTACCCAGATGAGTTTTGGGGGTAAACAAGACTGAATTGAATCCTGTGTGGTCCATTCTTAGGAGCTATTTGTCAATTAGGTTGAATGTACCTGAATTCCACTGGGAACACATTGCTTATCCTTGGTCATCTCTGTACTAGATCATGCTGCTCAATTTGGACTGGTATCCTTAATTTGAGCAGATTGTCACCAAGGGAAGATACCAGTGAACTTCTCATGGAAATCTGTCCAGTGATAGTGGGTCATATCAGCATCTGAAAGAGATCCTCTCTCTCACTACTAGACATGAGAGGATCCTTTGGGATCATCTAGCCCAGTCACTTTATTAAAGTCTTACTTGAGCCAAGTTGGTTAATACAGCTTTGGGGATTTAGTATTTATTCACTGTCGTTGTCATTCAGATAACCTCAGATTTATTAACTTTCAGTAACAAATAGCTGTCTAAAAATATCTTCATTGTGTCTACAATGGTGTTTGTGAGAATTTGTTTAATCAGATTAAGTGGCTTCCTTTATTCATTTGCCAGGGATTAGGAGATAAGCAGTCACCCCAGGTAATATAAAGATTTTTGAATATTTTTCATCATTAGTATAACTCATGGCACAAAGATTAACTTTTTTTTTTTTAAACTTCATACCTTACAATGTTAAGTCTTGAAAATAGTAGTTGAATTGTGGATTGCTGATGGGTGGTGGCATAGGTAATAGTTTTGGCTTATTCTTACCAAAGAATAAAGCCATGCAGACATAAAATCTTTGTACTTCTCACAAGCTTTGGATTGAGTAAGAAAATATGTTGAGACACAATAAAAAGTTAAAATTTCCAGAAACTTCAAAGTAATCCACTAGTTTGATTACTTAGTGCAAGTAAGTAAGACATTTTCAATTTATATGTAGAAAAGGCTCCTTTCCCTAAGGTTCATTATCACCTCCATTCCTGTGTTCCAAATTACTGTGTCAAGTAGTACCAGAAAAAGCTTTTGCTTGCTGTTAAGTTTGATCACCTCTGTTTTGCTGAGGCTGGAGTTTGAAGTGCTAGTAGGTGAGTAAATACAGGAAGAAATGCAGATAAACAGTTCTTCTGGAGTCAATCGCAGGAAAAATAGAACCTAAGATTTCCAGTCAAACTATTTATATAAGATCAGAGATTTTTATTTGAAATATTTTGTATGGTTAAGTATTTTAATTATTGTATGTGTTAAATACAATAATTAAAAGTTAATGTATTGAAAACTTACAAAGAAAGCATAAGTGTGATAGAAGTGATTTATAATTATGTGTATGGCTTAATTGTTTACTACTCGTAATTATTCTTACTGATTTTACTATTTTACTATTTTACTTAGTAGACACTAAGTTACTATACTAGATTACACTCATTCTGTGGATCCTGTTCAGGTTTTGCATTGTCTCAGTAGCACCATATGAAGGTTTTTCTTATGACTAATAGGTATTTAGCTATAGTTTTATTAAAAGAATTTAAAACATAAAACTTGTAAGGTATATATTTCTTTTCTATTCTGCTTTCAAAAGCAATTACCATTCTACTTTCAAAAGCAATTATCAGAAAGTATTCTTAATTTAAAGAGTCAGAGTCTTTGAAAGGCCTGTACCACTCTACTTTAGATTTCTTCGTGACTTATCTGATTGGCTTCTGATTTATAGTGATTAAACATCTACTTAATTATAAGGTGCTTTTATTAGCTATATAAGTTAGATAGTCTCTGTATCTTTTTAGCTGATTCCCTATCCCAAAAGGTATGATAGAATTTTAGTGCAGTTATGATATGATTTTCAAAATATTTTCATATCATGTACTGTACTTTTCAGTGTTCATCACATTTAAGTAATTATTTATGTTTAATGTCTATTCTCCCTATCCCAGAACTGTTGGAGAATAGGGACTTATGTCTCCCTTGATCAGTGCTTAGCATAGATTAGTACCTCTGAATGAATAAATTAGGGAATAAGTAACAGTTTGTTATTTATAAGCTTCATGAATTTCTTTATTTTTTTGGTAGTACTGGGGTTTGAACTCAAGGCCTCATGCTTGCTAGGCAGGTGCTCTACCACTTAAGCCACTCCTCCAGCCCTTTTATGTGTTGGGTATTTATGATATAGGATCTCACAAACTATTTTCTGGGGCTGGCTTCCAACTTCCTGAGTAGCTAGGATTATAGACGTGAGCCACCAGTGCTTGGCTTTCATGAATTTCTTAAAATCTAAATGTTCATATAACTTCTGGATAATAGCCATTTTCATTATATTTATGCAGATCGCCAGTCACAGTGGCTATGTGCAGATCGACTGGAAGAGAGTTGAAAAAGATGTAAACAAAGCAAAGAGACAGATTAAGAAACGAGCAAATAAAGCAGCACCTGAAATCAACAATATAATTGAAGAAGTAAGACTATATACAGTTTTGGCTTCTTTGTTGTTGTTAGTTAGTGGATCTCACATAATAGAAAATGTGACTGAGGATTGCCTTCTTTTAAACAAAAGAGTGCTAAGTAAAATTTGGGATCAATCCACCATTTAAATCAGTCATTATTTTTTTGGCAGTTAACATAGCCATTTCTGCCATTTCCCACCCACTTTCATTTGCATGTAAAAGCTGACAATATTCTTTCAAAAATTTTCCTGTACATTTGTAAATGTATATGTGTATATATGAGGTATAGAGTAAAACTACTAACTTTTTTCTTGAGATAGAGTAGTTTGAAAATATATATTTTGTTCTATTAATATGACTAATATGTTAGTTTTATTAACATTTTTATGTGTATTTTGCCCTTTTTTTCTTGTACTCTGTTTAGAATTGAATCTCCCTTGGCTTTGTTTTTGCTTTATCCCCTCCCAACATTTTATTTTTTTGAAAATTTCCAAACCATTTGAAAAGTTGAAAGACAAAAGTAAATACCCAAATATCCTTCACTTATTTACAAAATTGTTCACATTTTGCTGCATTTGCTTTGTGTTTTTGTGGGTGAGATTTATATTTTTTCCCAGATTACCTCAGCATGTATCTCCTAAGAGTACAGATATTCTATACAATAATTAATACCATTAATTATTAATCAAAAAAATTTAACATATATTTTCTAATGTATGGTTTATATTAAAATCTTCCCATGAAATATCGTTTATGACTTTGTTTTCCAATCAAGAATTATGTTTTACATTTGGATATCACCTCTAGAGTTTTTTTTAATCTTAAACAGTTCTCTTGTCTGGTTTTTGGGTTGTTTTCCTTTTGTTTGCTGCCAAGCCCCCCACCCCCACCCCAAGGACACACACATACCTAGGCAGAACATCTCATACTCTGACTCTTTATAATAGCTTTCTCATTTGGTTAATTTTTATTCGGTTACTTATTTTATCAAAATGATTTTTTTACATTTTTCTTACTGGCTAAATGGACTATTAACTATCATTGTGTCTGCTCTGTGCAGTTTATTAAATCATCTGTGTTAGTAACTTGACGAATGAATCATTTACATCTGCCTTATACAGAGATTTTTGGTTTTGTTTTTGAAGGTACTGGGGTTTGAACTTGGGGCCTCACACTTATAAAGCAGGTGCTATACCACTCAAGCCACTCTGCCAGCTATAGATTTCTTTTTACTTACAAGATTATTGCTGCTCAGATACCTATTATCTCAGTAGGCAAGGAGCGTACTGGGGCTGCCTCTGGGCTCTAAGGTCCTTCAGTTTGTAATGGACAGCTCTGGGATCTTGCATGGTGTTGGGCACCAGCAGTAGGTGCATAGGAATATTTGCTTACTGTTTATTAAATTAAGGTTAATAGCTGAGAATGTTATTTAGTTTCAGATTCAATAATTAAAAGCATTTAAAAATTTTGCATGTTTTTATTGTGACAAAATGTATATAACATAGATTTTACCATTTTAACCATGTCTAAGTGTACAGTTTAGAGGCAGTAAGTACATTCACCCTTCTGTACAATCATTACCACTATCCATTTGCAGAATTTTTATTTTTACCATTTCAAACAAACTTTGTTCCCATTAAATACTAATTCCACAATTTCCCCCTCTCCTCAGCCCTTAGTAACCTCTGTTCTACTTTCTGACTATGAATTTGATTATTCATAAGTAGAATCATACATTTGTCCCTTTTTGTCTCTTATTTTACTCAATGTAATGTTTCAAGATGTATCCATGTTGTAGCATAATTAAGAGTTTGTTGAAACTTACTTTGTTTTTTAGGCAACAGAATTTATCAAACAGAACATTGTGATATCCAGTGGATTTGTGGGAGGCTTTTTGCTAGGCCTTGCATCTTAAGGACACGAATATTCTACTCTAGTGAATCCACCTGTGAGAAGAGAAGTGGTGGCGCTCTCAAGAGCACATGCTGCAGACTCTCCAGAGCAAGGAGAAACAACTCGCTGGACAATATCAAATTCACAACTTAGCGTTTTGCCATCTGAAGCTTGGCAAACTAGTATCTGCTGTAAAACCTATGTGGTATGTGAACAATAATAGCATTCTTGAGCAAATATGGCTTTTGTCATTTTTTTCTAAATTTGCATCTATTAAGAAACTAGCCTATATAATATCACCATTGGATATAGATGTATATATAAAGAAAAAAAATGCATTGGTTTTATTGCCCAATGAAATATTATCTTTTATTTAAGTAAGATGTTCTTCATTGTGCTTTGCAGTATAGTGTCAGTAATTAAAAATTTGTCATTATAGCTTCACTATTAGGGCTGACTTTTTTTCTTAAGATGTTTGCAATGAATGAAAGAACAGTAGTGCCCTTTTGTGGAAAGCTTTAGAAATAATAGAATTATTAAAGATATTAAACAGACTACTGATGTACTATAATACCAATCTTTAGGTGTTTTTTTTTCCTGTATTTCTTACTTTGCTTATATATTAACTGTACATTTAAAATACTCTAAGGAAGTACTACAACATGTGTAAAGCTGCTTTTCCTTTTTTGATGTTTGTAGTTTTAAAAATACATTCTTATATGTTAGCTTCTAATTTTTTTATTTGTTTATCCTGGCAACCTGGGCAGAACTAATTATTTTGGGAACACATAGTTTGGTCATTGATTCATGTCATTAGTCTCAAATGCATCTTGTCTTTCATTTCTAAAAATCCTAATTATTATTTTGGCTCCTTCACCAAGAAGTTGCTTAAAAATGCTATATCTGAAGGACTGTTATTTTCTGTGTAATCATGAAATTGTAGCTTAGAGATTATCTCCTTGATTGAGTCTGAGATGGAAGTACTAAAGCTTTCAGGTGTTGACAGTATTATGTTGGTTGAACACTGGGCCGTTTACTGGTTTCTCAGGGCCAACATTACCCTCTCTAAGAGCCTTCTTTGCCCCCCCCCCAAAAAAAAAACTTTTTGTATTGTTTTGTCCATACAGGTTCCATAGGCTGGAATTGGGACAAATAATAGAACAATGTGGATTGAAGTTTTCAGATCCAAAAGACTGCAGTTATTCAGATCATCTCTATTTGATAGGATGTCCCCATAGTGTATTTTCTGTATTGTAAACATGACATTTCCTACTTTCAAAATTGGTTACAGGCCGTGTGTGCTTTCATTATCATGAGACTCCTTAAAGTAGAATGTGGAATCTTATCCTTAATTTCTTCCTTTATTCTTATTAGTGCTTCAAATATAATGCTAAATAAAACTCATACTTTCTTAATATGAAGTGAATTTGCTTATAAATCCTTGTGTTTTCTTCTTTGAGCTTTTATCTGTTTCTATCTTGCTAAGCTTTTCATTGCAATGGAATTAAAAAGGAACAAATATTGAGGAGTATGGTCAGGTCATGTTAGGTAGAACCTTGATGCTGCTTCTGTGCACCACACCTGAGTGATTTGATACAACTGGCAAGCTACTTTTTTTCATTGTAACCATTTCATTTAAAAAATATTTTTAGTGTCTGTTCTTTGCATGATACACTAGGAAACGGGGAGGAGGGGCACAAAACACCCTCAAACTTTCAACCAGTCACATTAAAGCCAGGCGCTGGTGGTTTATGCCTGTAATCCTGGCTACCCAGGAGGCAGAGATCAGGAGGATCACAGTTCAAAGCCAACCCAGGCAAATAGTTCCCAAGACCCTATCTCAAAAATACTTAACAGAGAAAAGGGCTGGTGGTGTGGCTCAACTGTAAAGTGCCTGTCTAGCAAGCATGAAGCCCTGAGTTCAAACCCCAGTTCCACCAATAAATAAATAAATGGACATTAAAATATTCCTATATGAGGAATTGTATAATAATGTGGAAGAACCTGACATATGACAAAACAGTGCACCTGAGTAGCAGAGATAACTACTTTGAGTCCAAATACATGAATGATAACAAAAAGATAGCACATCATTTTTACCCATGCTTTTTTATTTATTTTTTTTTGCAATACTGGGGTTTGAACTCAGGGCCTACACCTTGAGTCACTCCACCAGCCCTTTTTTCACAATGGGTTTTTTTGAGTTTGTCACAAACTTTTTTTCTGGGCTAGCTTTGAACCGTGATCCTCCTGATCTCTGCCTCCTGAGTAGCTAGGATTGTAGGCATGAGCCACCAGCACCCCAGTGTCTTGTGATATTTGAAAATATTTGCACACGAGTGCAAAAGATTACCTGTACTCTGTACTGTCCCACCTCTTTAGTGCCCCTTGTTCTGCCTTATGTCTACATGAATTCTCAAGTAGTGTCAATCAATGTCTAACTTGTAAAGCACATACACAGTACAGGCTAAATTTCCCTTATCCAAAATACTTGGGACTATAAGTGTTTCAGATTTCAGATTTTGGAATATTTGCTTATATATAATGAGGTATCTTGGGGAGGAGACCCATGTCTAAACACAGAATTTATTGTTTCATTTATACCTTACACCCATAGCCTGAAGGTAATTTTATACAATATTTTAAATAATTTTGTATTTGAAACAAAAGTTTGTATATCGCAGCTAAGGGGGCTTGAGGGGTGATTTTTTGTTTTAGTCTTGGAGATGTTGAATAAACTTTATTCATTTTACCTGTGACCCATCACATGAGGTCAGGTGTAGAATTTTCCCACTTGTAGCATCATGTAGTTGCTCAAAAAATTTCAAAATTTGGATTTTGGATTTTGAGGCTGGGGATACTCAGCCTATATAGAGTTTACTCACGGTAGGTATTCACTTAATTTTGTGAATGAGTGAATATGTGAAAAGCATATTACTGTGCTAGATTTAGTGTTAGCCTGTAGGAAACTATTCCTTCTTTATGTAGCAATCCGCTTAATCAGACTCTATCAGGAATGACTTGATGGGGCTTGGTTGCAATGAAAAGCTTAGCCTGCTTTTGTCTGAAATGGAAATTTTTATGTTTTGGGGCATAAAGGCTGTTTGCAAGATTTATTAAAACCTGACCATGCAATATAGCTATTTTGTGGGTTAGGCTTTGGAAGACATATAGGGACATTTTGACTGATTTTTATTTTTTCTTAAAGTTCTTCCATCCCTCCTCAAGAATAGATGATTTTTAGTGTTTTGTTATTTCAAAGAAAATATCAATGATGAAACATTCTTTATAGAAAGATAAATCAGCATTAAGATTTCCTTTATTAGTTTAAATATTACTCTTCAATTATTCTTCCTTTACCAACTTCTAATTTCTTGTAATGAAAGATGATACAATAGGATATTTCTTCCCTAATTTTTATTAAATTATTATTACTGTTAATGGTACATTCAAATGATAGAATTCTATACAATTATTGAGAGAAATCTAGAGTTATATAAATTGATCTGGAAAATACTGGAGATGTAGCTCAGTGGTAGAGAGCTTACCTAGCATGCACCAGGCCCTGAGTTCAATCTCCAGCACTGGGGAAAAATGACATTTACATGTTAGTGATAAAACGAGGCTACAAACAGTGTGATCTTGTAGGCTCAATCAATCCCTGAGCAGAAGATTCCTAGATTCTTTGTGTCCCATAGAAGAATCCAGGCAAAACAGTGGATGTAGTAAGAAAGGTAACAGAGCTTATTAAAGGTAAGGGGAAGGCATCACAAAAAGCAATAGTAATCCCATCTGGCCTGGTGGGCAAGTAGGGATGGAAGCTTATGGTCTGGAAACAGGAAAAAGGGGAAGAAAAAGCAAAAGTGGCCCCACCTGGACATGTAGGATGGCGAAGCAGTAAATAAAGAGCAGGCTCTCCTTTTCAAGGTGTTTTAAAAGTGGGTGGGGAAAGATTTCAGTGGTCCTCGTGGGTGGGTCGGGCTAGGGTGATCAACAGTTACTCTGCACATGCACTTAATCTAGCTCTTAGGTATTTTAATCATATGTATAGGGTTGTTGTTGGCATCTGGTCTGTGATCAGAAGACTTTATCCTGCAGGGAAGAATCTACTGCAGGACACATGGGTATAAATGGAGTTTATTAAAAATTAGGGAAGGGAAGTACAAAGGGGAGCATGGTGGGCACAGGTGGAGAGTGTGCTTCTCCAGGTACTTTTAAAACTTATACTAATCTATGGGAAGGAAGGGACCAGGTGATTTCCATCCACTAATCAATGAGTGGGGAAGGTCATGGTGGTTCCCTGGCCAGGTGAGGGCGATCCCTGAGGTAGAGCATGATTAATCTGAGTTGTAATATTTTTCTATGAGTCCCAAACTCTCCCTAATTTTAGCCTGCCTTGAATTCCCTGAGAGACAAGATCCCAAGAAAATCTTTTTGAGATTGCTAAGGGGCCTGAGTTCTCTTTTCTTCTGAATCTGCTTTGAGCTGACAAGGGGCAGCAGACTGTCCTTTTTCCCTTGGGGCTAATTTGGACACAAGGTGTCTGAATTGTCCAGTACAATTAAGGTTTCTCATGGAGATCTGGGTTGCTCATGGAGATCGCGTTCATTTGTAGAGATCAATAGCCCTGTTGCCTCATGATTTGGGTCCTAAAGGCTTTTATCATGGACGAGATAAATCTGGTTTAGAAGGCATGACCCAAACATTAACAATAATAGAAGCGTCAGAAGGGGCCCTTCCAGGTGTAGCAGGAAGGATAAAAAAAAAAAATCTAACTTCATTTTGCAAAGTGACAGAGCCTCTTATGGTTACTTTGCCTATAGGTGTTTGTACCTATATCTATTTTTAACCCTTAGATGGCCCTCAGTTTGGACTGCCACTGTAGTGTACAGTTAAGGACTCATTGTTTGGGGCAATATCTACATTAGGGGCCAGGTGTATTTCAAGCAGGTGCCAATCTAAGTAGAGGGTAAACATCAATGAATCAGTTCCATACAGAAAGAAGACTCAAAGTGTCCCTAAGCAGAAGTTAGATATCATCAAAAGTTATATTGCCTTTGCTTAAACAGAAGGCCTTGGCCAAAGGCATGAGTTTGCCTTTTGCCAGAAGCCTAGAAGGCTTAAATATTAGAGCACATGTGTAAGAGCCCCCTTTTAAAATCTCTCAGCTTTGGTTACTTTTAGAGGTCTGGCATAATTGAACCATTTAGATCTGGAAAATACCCTATTTTCGTAGTTCCTTTGAACTATCTTGGGTGGCTGAACACCACTTCTTAAGAAGTTAGGAGATGCTGAC